GAATATCAGTATTCCGATTTGAAAACTGCATGAAAGCATCAAAACATATCTTTAAGGGGGCTGTATAGGTATTTATTGCAAAGATGGTATCTCCTTCAAACTCATTCTGTAGTTAAATATAAACGGAATTGGGATTGAGTGTTTCAGTTTTGGCATATTTCCTGGGGTTGCTAAAGGGATGGACACACTTAAAATGTTGTTTTTTAACGATGCTTATTTTTCTACCTATGTAATAAAATATGTTTGGGAGAATAACTTAAATTATCATACATATTTTTGTTGAGTTTGTTTGATTTGTTTACATCACTCACGATAAAGAGTAAATGCTTACTCATAAATTGGTTTTGTTTCTAATATTTCCTTTTTCTAAATTTTCTTAAATTTAGTTTAAATTTATATCTTTTATTAGTACATCTCAAATTTTCCATTTTCCTTCCAACTTAAGGAAACATCTTCTTCGTGAAAATGAAGGATACTTTACAATCAAATATGTCCAGTCATTGCAGTTTTCTTGATGATATTTAAAATGTATATGATATACATTTTTAATTATTTTTCATTATTATTAAATAGGAGTCTAAATGGTTCACGCAATTTGTAAGTATTTAAGTTAGACATTTTTAGGGTTAAAAAAAAAACAAAATCGTTTCTATGGGTCCGAGGGTCTAAAAATTATAGGGCTTTCAAAAATTTTTTTGTTATACAGGTAAAAAAATAAAATCATTCAAAAAGTCACAAATGAAACATATTGAGATAACAAACAGTTTTTAAGATCAAAAGTGCATAAAACAATACAAAATAGGTGCAGAGCAAACACGGACCTCCAAAACATCAGAGATAGGATCAGGTGCCATGGAGGAGTAAGCATCCCTTGCCGACCGGTCACACAATAGAATTTGTACTTATGTTTTAAACGAAATTTCAAAACATAAAATAATATCAATTACATGTGAATTCTTAGGACATATCATAAAGTTACCCTTAAGTGAAATGTTTTATGTCACAAGCATCATAAAAAATGTGTGCCCCATATTTTTAATTTTCCTTAGTGTTTCATACAATGCTTTGGTAACATTATCCACACAACATATATATCTATATTAGCCTTCCGTATCCTAAAAATGAAGTCGGAAATATATTATACATTTATTGAATGAGTTCGAGGGCAACATGCGTTTTGTCGGACCCAAGAACCAAACTGTCTGCCTAGGCCGAAGTCCGTTAGGCCGAAGGCAGACAGTTTGGTCGAGGGTCCGACAAAACGCATTTTGCCCGAGAAGTCTTTGTCAATAAATGTTTTGTTATACCTTTCATTTTATTTTATATTTTTTGACATAAATGTAATTTGCACTATATTCCGTAATGTAACATCAGATTTGTCACTGTTTAACACCAACGAATGAAAATGAGATTAAGCTCTGTCCTTTCTGTGACGTAAGCGGTCCAACACCTCATCGACCGGTCCAACATCTCACTGAGCGGTCCAACATCGATTTTTTATGCCCGCTCAGCAAAACATTAAAAATGTTAGACTTTTTGTCTGTATAGATTTGTATAGAAACACATTTTTAAAGGTATAACAACATTTATTACTTAAACAAAGGAAACACAACATAAATACATGTATCTATATTTTCCTTTTTTTTTACCAGGATGAAAGCTGTAAAACATATAACAGTGCAAAGTTTGCTTGAAAACTCCGAAAGTGCAATTATTTCTGAAATTTTATGTGACGTTTGTAGCTCTCAATCACGTTCTAATCGGCTCAGTTCGACTTAATCTCTGTTGAGATTCTGCTGGGCTAGATATTTGGACAGACTCCCCATAATCTCTGGACAGCCGTTAATATTTCATGTCTGAAAATCAAGTCCCAACTTGGTCGACTATAGCAAGAATAATTCACCTAAGCCACACAGCTGCTCGCTTCATTTAAGCCATTTGGTTGTATATTTGACTCTCTGTCACTTTTATTTCTACATTGCTTACCTTTTAGGCATGTAAATACCAACATAAAAATATTCACTGAAATTTCAGTTTTAAATATGGCTCATGTAACGAAATTGTTTACCTCCTCATATAAAAGAGTTCTTATAGTCTGTTTTTTCCTGTCCCTTGGTGAATCTGAACCAATGTCTTCTGTGGCTATTTAACATCAATTAGGGTAAAAACAGACTATAAGAACTCTTTTATTTGAGGAGGTAAACAAATTCACAAAAATGAGCTGATCATAGTTTCACAATCGATGAACGTTAATCTATATTTCACATCTGTAAACCATAGTTAACTCGATAATCTATGTTTCACAACCGTAAACTACCATTTGAGATCGCAAAACAGAGATTATCTGATAAATACAGTTTCATGATTTGTAAACTATGGTTTACAACTCTTAACTATAGTTAACGATCGTAAACTATAGTTTACAGACGTGAATCAATGTTAATCAACAAAATCTATTGTTAACGTTTTATTACAGACAGATAAACTTAGATTAGCATTCGTAAACTATAGTTAACATCCGTTTAATATAGTTTTACAGCTGAAAACTATACTTAACGAATCTTTAACTATAGTTCACGGTTTGTAAACTATAGTTTACAGTCGATAAACCTAGTTTATCAACAGTGAAACTATGTTTAGCTCATTTTTGTGAATTTGGCGTGCCATAGAAATACATGTATATGAATTAACGATGTTGACCTTTGAAATTTTGACCCCAAACCCAATAGTTTAGAGGCCTTCCTCATAATTAGGACATAGGGGATTGTGGTATAAAATTCCCAGTCAAAGGCTACTCTCCATAGATATCGCATGGAAACGAAAATGTTAAAAATAATTTATGAATTCATTACCTTGACCTTTGACCTCAAAATCTTTAAGGCTTTCTTTAGGCCATAGGAGGTTTTTAAAATTTCTTTCCTATAGCTCAAAGGTTTTTTGTCTGTATACCTGTATTTCGGGTTGTCTGTCTGTCTTTTCCTATCTTTGACTATGATAACTCAGACTGGAACCCAAATTATGGTCATATTTCTGGGTGACTATTACTGAGAGTTATTTTAAAAATCTTTTGCTATTTTGAAGTTCTTTTTCCACTTTGTGTCGAAAATAAGTTAGCCCGGAACCAAAATTATGATCATATTTAACGTTCCGGGTTAGCATTACTGTGTGCATTTTCAACTATTTTTTTGCTACTTTGATGTTTCTATTCTAGTCCAATTAATGACGAAAATAAGTTAGCCCGGAACCAAAATTATGATCATATTTAACGTTCCGGGTTAGCATCACTGGGCGCATTTTCAACTATTTTTGCTACTTTGAAGTTCCTTTTCCACATTATGACGAAGATATATGTTAGCCCGGAGCCAAAATTATGATCATATTTAACGTTCCGGATAAGTCTATCGTAAAACAGCACGAGGGGGGGTATATCAATGTAAACAAGTTTCACACCTTCTTTTGTTTACAAAGAATCAAAGTAATCAACTGGAATTTCATGGATTAATACAATATTTAAATCAGAGACATCAATAAATATATAATGTCTCTGGTAAAAAGACCGCATATTCTGACTTGAAATGTAAACACATATGTATGTCTTACGATTAAATCGTGCTGCATCCTATACGAAAGTATAAAAGAAAGAAGAAAACTAAAATTAACAGCCAATATTAAATATAAATAGAGAGTTTAATAGGGTGCTTGGTTGCCCGGAACGTTTTTTACGGCCGGAACCAATCTTACGCGGGCCGGAACATTTATTATGGCCCGGAATCAATATTATAGATATTTAGCGTTCCGGCCGGAACGCCAAGTTACCCCGGGAAAGTATATTATGCGACACCGGTCACACCCGCCGTGTGCTCCTTGTCATGATCGGGAAATAACGTCGTCAATTCAGTGTACTCGTATAATGGACTAAAAATAAGTATGAAAAACGTCAGTCAGCGTTTGACTTAATGATAAATTGTATATGCTGACAAGGTCATTGTATCGACCACAGAACTGATGACTTTCAACGAGACAGCTGAAATTCTTGCTTCATCAACTTGATTATCAAAAATTTACCTCATTTTAAAAATTTATTAAAAATTTACCTCATTTTAAAAATGTCTTAAAAACTATTAATCAAATATCATTGCTCTGGCATTAGAAATTTGACAAGCAAAAATATTAATTTCAATATTTTTCTGAATCAGCTATTTTATATACTCAAAAATTAAGATTCATGACGTTTTCAGATATTATTAAAATGGAAAAAAGTTAAAGATAACAAACTTGCCTGACTAAAAAAAATAACCTATATATAAAATGGTAAAAATTACATAAAACGCGGACTCTGAAAACTCTAGAGGGGGATCTGGTGCATAGGAAAAATAAGCATCCCATACTGACCATGCATTGATCAGAGAAACAAATAATTTAGGTCATTTTATGTATAAAACTAAAGGCCTAACAAATGATACGAAAGAGGCGTGCAAAATGCGACCCAGTGATAAATTATATATGCTAACAAGATGACTAGATATATCTAAGTACTGACAAAGTACAGTAATACCTGCACTTAAATGTTTCTATAAAAATCTATTTTTTACGCAAAAAAAAGTTTTCTACTTTCAATCATCTCTAGTGAAAAAAATTCTTATTCTTGACTGCATGTCTACAGGACACTCCAACACTTATTCCCAAAGTTTGGACTACTGTGAAATCTGAGAGGAGTTTATTAGAGAATCAGGTTTTTTTTAACAAAGATCATTTTTGACCCCCATGTAGTACTAGTCCCTTCAATGAAAATAAAAATTCTGAAATCATTGCACATCTACAACCCACCACCAACTTCATCCGAAGGATGATTTGACTACAACAAAAAATGTAAGAAGAGTTCAAGAAACAGGAAAATCTGATTTGAGGGAAAAAAACTTCCCCGATTTGAAAATCGAAATTCAAAACCCTTATTTTACATCGCTAAGACACTCCCAATCATATTCCAAAATATTATTAGGCTAATGCAAAAAATATAAGAGGAACTTGCCTTAAAAATTCTTTTAAACAATCAGAGTTGCATAGTATGAAATACCGTGGTCAAGAACTCCAGTATTTTGATGTCTGTCTCAATATCTGGTGCGTCTCCAGGTTGATAATTTCTACACAGCAGCAGTTTGTCTTGAGTAATACCAATAGCCTCACATATTTCAGTCTTTTTATCCTCTAGTTCCTGTTCAGACATATCACATTTGTCCACTTTTGTCAAAACAGCAAACACAGGTATTTCTTTAAAAATAGTTTCTCTTTTTTTACACACACTTACATGTCATCATAAGTACATGTACTAATTCAAAACTTTAGATATGATGAAACTTAAAATGTATATACTTACAGATATAAAAAAAGCTTGTAATTAAATATAAAATTCAGTATAACAAATTTTTGTTTGAGATATTACAAGAACATGTATTTTTGAATCTCAATATGCAAGATACGACATGAATGCATCTCAAATGTAACATATTTAAGATTGATATTAATTGATATTTTATTGCATTCTGATTTTTATCAGAATCAGGAAATTTACTTCTCTTTTTTATGTTTGCCTCCCTATAGATTTCGTCGATGAGTGTCTGTGGAATGCTTGGGCTCTTTGCTGAAATCACAACCATTATGATGTCCACTGTAAGCTTTTTTTCTTCGCTCCGGTCCTTTATTGTTTTCCCCGCTTTAAGTTGTTTGCTGACATCCAGTAGGTCACAATTCTCCGGTAGTCTCCCGTTTATGATCAGATTCATCAACATACTGTTAACCGTGTCTGCTTTCTCATCAGATGACGACAGTTGAGCGTCCAGTCCAATAATGTCGATGAATGTTGGGAGGCAGAGCAATTTATCTCCTTCATCTTCAGGGTCCCAATATTCATCTCGGCTGATTCTATAGAATGTTCAAAAAATGGTGAAGATTAAAGATAACGGATAGTGATTGATCTAAAATACAAATCAAATCCGTGAACATGGCAAAATAATTGGATCCCCTGAATAACCCAGAGGTGGGATGAGGAGTAGTAAGCATCCCCTGTTGTACGGTCACACCCACCGTGAGTCGTATTTATTGACATAAGTACTCGGAACATTCTTTAGTCAAATTCACTATAAATACAATACTAACCTGCATGTCAGTAACCTGTCTATTTTTAAATATTGATCGAGCGTCTCCGTATTTTAGAAAAAGTACACATGTACATTTTTAATTATCATTGTCCAGCAATAAATAGTAAAGAAAAACGACAATACTAGTTATAAAACACAAGTTTTTTAAATTAACAATAAAACTCAATGAAAAATGAAGTAAATAGAAAAAAGAATGATAAGAAGTCAAATCCATTTATAGCCTCAGTTCACGAGGAATGTCCTTATTATGAAGAGAAAGGGGAGGGTTGAATACATACCTGTGAAATGGGGTGTGACGTGCTTGTCTCCACCGCCAATGTCGGCATAAAAGTCGTATTTCCCCGTCAGGGCTGTAATGGTCGAATTTATCAATGATGATTTTCCTACTCCGAGTGATCCAACTAAGAGAACATTCTTTGATTCCTTTAAAGCCCTCAAATTCTTTTTCAGGCGCTCCAAGATTTTCTCCTTTTCATTTAATCTTCTTGTTGTCTCCTCTTGTGAAATAGAAAAAAAAATATTTAATTGCAGTATGTATAAGCATTAACCGAGAGGATTTTTTTATTATATTATTCTTTCAATATCATAGAAAATTAAATTCGTTATACGACTTTCATTCTTTATGAAGGCAGAATAAGTTGCATTTTAATCGAGAAAAAAAAATGTTCTGTCGTTATTTTTCTGTTCTATATCTTAAACAATAGCTGTTGAGTTATGTTTTCAAGAAACATAAATAGGTGTATGAGGAAGCTTGTAGAATAATAAAAACAGTGAAATATGGGATGTTAGTCAAATATATCATTTTTAGATTTAAACCGGCGATAGAAAAGTTGCCATGTTTATTTAAGGAAAAGTTTTAAACTTCTGTATGAGATTGGTGTGTAAATCACACAGACTAACAATTTTCCAGTAGAAGACAAATGTAAAGGAGGGATAATAATTTTTTAGGTATCATAATGATTTTTATTTGTTTCATGAAAATTAATCAATATGACATTAAAAATAATCTTTTTAATGCGGGAATCAGCTGTTCAGTTACATTTCTAAATGATAAAAAAAATTTCGGACCTCTTCACTATTAATTTTGTTAACAAAATAGTATGCTTTAACAGGCTCTTCTGCTTGGATCGATGCTACAGATTCACATAAAGAAGGAGAGTGGAGATGGTCTTCTACTGGAAAATTGTTAACGTACACTGCTTGGGGCAAGAGGGAACCAAATGACGACGGTGGTAAGGAGGATTGTGGAGTTGTCCACAATTCTGGTGGAAAGCTTCTTTGGAATGATCTACCCTGCAGTGCAGAGGTTCAGGCCTTATGCGAAAAAGCAGCCTAACTGAGATTATGTATACGCTTTGTAAGAATAAAACGTACCATATTAATGGCTTTAATTCTTTAGAGTTCTTTTTAACAAAATGTTATTAAATCTATTACACAAGGGACACAAACTCTTAGAGATAAATAGGTTTACTTCAGTTAATCATTGATGATCTTTAACATACCCCATACGAAAATGTGTAGTTGACCGTCAACTAGTCGTCAACTGATAATGCGAAAACAGTTGACCACTCGGAGTTGAATGCTTTTCTGAAAAGCGATCAACTGATTTGCATAAAACGGCCAGTTGACCGTTAGTTGAATGCTAATACTTTGAAATTTCATGCAAAACAAGAGTTGACCACTAGTTGAACACTCCGACTTGTTAGAAAATTTCTCCCACGCTACATTTATGTTGGGTTCAAAATTACATTATCATAGATCGGGTTTGTTATACCATAATTACAACAACCAAGATTTGAATCAGTACATGTGTGTTTTCTGGGAATTTTGATTTGAAACATTATTGTCTTCGTGATGATTCAGCGTGTGAAATATATCTCATGCACTATTGTAAGTATATAAAATGTAAAGATTTGTTTTACTAAGCTTGTTATTTTTAAACAGATAATAGGAATACAAAACACTGTAGCCAATATAGGTCCCTATTTTTGTGTACTTTTTAAATATTGAAAGAATTCTGAAAACTTGTCATGCATCAAGTGTTTTGTTGTGTTTCTTGTTGTGTTGGTAAAAATTACCATTGCATTAGACTGATTCTATATATAACCTTTTCTGCACAAAAAATGAAGAAGGCATGTAACAACTAATGTCAGAGTGTGCCAGCTCTATTAATTCATAATGCAATTAGATTTACAAGTTCATATATGTCAATTTAGAAACTCCATGTTTTGACTTTTCATACTTTCAAAAACACTGCTTGTCTTAGATTTCAAATCTCCCTCCATTTTTTCAAAAATTTAATGAATGCAACCAACGTGCACTGACTAATGGAGTATTCAACTAGCGGTCAACTGTAAATGAAATATAGGAGTGTTCAACTAGCGGTCAACTGCGAAGGATATAGTGGAGTATTCAACTAACGGTCAACTGTAAAAGAAATAGAGGAGTGATCTCAACTAGCGGTTAACTGCAAAGGAAATAGAGGAGTAATCAACTAGCGGTCAACTGTAAAGGAATTAGAGAAGCATTCAACAGTGGTCCACTCTATGCAAATGAGTTGATCGCTCCCTCATTTGCATGGCAAAAATTCAACTAATGGTCAATTGACGGTCAGTTGACCGTCAACTAGTGGACAACTGAATACTCCGATTGAATTCTAATAGTACTTTTTCATATGGGACGTCATCTTTGCAGTCTTCAGATTCCCAGGTTTGATATAAAACAAATTGTTCATACAACCAAAAGTCTCTGATGAGACAGTAGCTTTACTGGTCTGTACGTACAACAAGTGAAAATTAACACTTGGATTTAAAAATGCAATTATGTATCTTAATTTAGTATACTTGTGTGCCATGCTATCTTGAAATTAAACCAAAACTGTAAGAGGAATAGCATTTGGAAAGTATTTCTAAGAAATGTCTATTTTTAGATTTTTAGTAACCATGGCAACAAGATTCGCCAAAAGCAAATACCAATAAAGACTAATGTGCGTTATAATGTAGTCTAATGTAATTCATTTTCTATGAAAAAATATAATGAAGCAAATTGCAAGTATCACCCCGTTTTCTTGTAGTATTTTTAACATAATAGGTAACATCATAAAAAGTCTTTGTGTAAAAATGTTGTAATTCATATATTTTGGAAGAAATTATTTATTTTTAATTTCATTAAAGAAAAAAAAGTATATCTTTATGATAAAATAAACGAGAATATGAATTTTTCATTAATTTTTTTACTCTTGTGTCATAAATATTTACCTTTCTGCATTAAGACAAAGGTAAATAAGCACTGCTGAACATCTAAATATATATTTTTTTTGGCAGAAAATAAGTATTTTGTTTTGATTAGTAACAACTCACACTGATTCAACCTTTTCTTCATGATTCCAATCATTTAGCCCCCCCCCCCCCCCAATATCCCCGTCAGCATTATTAGATCTTAGGAAAGGTTTTACAATTAAATCTACTGATCAATAAGCAGATATTAGTACGAGTACATTTTTTAAAAAAATTTCTTATTTTTGTCAAGAAATTGAAATTAATGATAAACATAAAACAAGAGGCCCATGGGCCACATCGCTCACCAGAGCACTAAGGGTAGGAAAAAAAGTAGAAAATGGCTTTTTATCGTAAAGTTTAAATGACCAATCATGGATTTGCTATTTTTTAGAAAATGATTTTTAAAGAATTTTCCTATATATATCTTTAAACTTTGGTCGGCCATTTTGGCCCCGCCCTACCCCCGGGGGTCATGATTTGAACAAATTTGAATCTACACTACTTGAGCATGCTTCAATATAAATATGATGAATTATGGCTTTGTCATTCTTGAGAAGAAGATTTTTAAAGAATTTTCAATTTATTTATTCGCTTTCCAAAGAATGTGTCAATCAGAAAATACCTAGACATCGATCTATATAGATGTAAATATTACTTCTGGACTCGCATTACTAAGTAGTACATAAACCATTGATTTCATTTAACGATCATTTTTATGTACAGAGCTATCTCTGTCGTATGTTTTTATTAATATTTTACTCATAATTTAACAATTTTCTTACCCATTTTTAAGACTTGGGCTCCTTGGAAACTTATGTTTTCATGTACATTCATCGAAAATGAAAGTACACCAGATGATCCCCATCTGTACCCAGAGTTATCGTTCCACTTATACGTGTTGTAGCGAAGCGAACGACAACTCTGGGTAGAGATTATATAGAAGCATAGTGGTGTCACTATTTTTTTAGGTTGGTAATATAACTTTAATTTTCTTTTCCACTCTCCGAGTACTCTGAAATTACATAAGATAAACAACGAGAAATACAAGGGCTCTAAAAAGAATAAATAACATAAAAAAGCTTTTTTTCTGAAATCAGCAATATTTCTCATAGATATACATTTGAATTGGTGACCTGAAGAATGTTTACCACGCACAATGGGAGAATTTCATAAGATTTTTTCATAAGGTTAAAATCTTTCTGCAATTTTTTAAATTGAATTATATAGAATGCAAAACAAAGTTTCATATCTAAGCACCAAGGAAAACCTACTATTTCTCTATATTTCAGGTATTTATTATTTATGTCATTTCAAATCAAAATCATTTAAAAAATATCAAACATACCAATCCACGCATCAAAGTTTTGTCTGTATTACATGTAAGTACCCTTAAAAATAGAACAATGTGTGCCAAAAGTGAATATAATTTTATTTTTTCTATTCTTTATTTCATTGAAAACAATATTTTGTAAAATCACTGGCAAATGGTCAATTTTGTCCAATTTCATTATTTATTTCAACACATAAACAAGAAAATGTGTAGTTTATATCTGTGAAACGGAACGCTGTTTCCTATATGTTTATTATAGCGAAAGTTATCGCCCTTGTTATCATTAATTACTAATTATATACATCGAAAATAAATACTTAATTAGTGTTGAATTTGAATTAAAGTGGTCAATAATAATCTTTGTATGTTGTCTTTAGTTGGTTATAAAGATATGTTGATTGGAAGCTTGATAAGTGTTTTATTTAGTTTGTAAATAAATATTCACTATGTAATATAGATGGTGTTAAGATATATAGGGTTTTTACTGACATTTTTTTAAAAAAAAAGGTTCTAGAGGTAAAACTCGACAAATCTTGTTGGTACATGTAAGTGTGCGGACCTCCCTGCTTATATTGTACTGTGATAAGTGATAAGTGTGTGGTCATCCCTGCTTATTGCTTGACAGAGTGTGTGGTCATCCCTGCTCTGTGATTGGCATCTTTAAGCAGCAAGTGTGCGGACATCCCTGCTTGTTGCTGCGCAAGATAAGGTGTGTGGACATCCCTGCCTTCATCTTGTGGTAGAGCATTGGTGTGCGGACATCCCTGCCAGTGTCTCTAGACAGAACCGTATTGGTGTCAAGTGTGTGGTCATCCCTGCTTGTCACTGCGCAAGGGCAAGTGTGCGGTCATCCCTGCTTGTCTCTTGTGGAAGTGGGCTGGTGTGTGGACTTCCCTGCCAGTGTCACTTGTTCGCTACCAGTAAAGACCTTATATAACGCAGTACCAAGTGATTAAGACTGCGCATTGTACATATTTGCAGCATCTCAAGGCTATCCGTTTTTATCACGGGTACGAGCCTGCGGGGGTTCACAGGCAGTGACCTCCCTTGCACGTTACATAAAATTTGGTGGCAGCGGTGGGATACCTTGAGATAACTGCGCCATGGAAGACATAGACAAAGAACTGACTATGATAGAAGAGAAGCTCGCGGAGCTGAGGGAGGAAAGTATCAGGAATAGAAGTTTCAAGTCGTCGACTCCAGTGACCCCGCGTATAAAAGACAAAGTAAGAGACTCGGGTGTTGGCGAATCTCGCATCTCCGGAGAATTGCGGCAGACAGAAGAAAAGTCATTAACGCTTGAACATGATGGTGCGCTAACCCAGCACGCACCTATCCTTGAAGAAAAGTCTCTAGGACAATCTCTCAGGGACATTTTTAAAGGAAACCGGAGCAAGACCCCGCGATTACATTCATTCAGAGTCTCCTACCAGATTCGATAGAAAGCGGCGCAAAACGACAAACATTGGAGTAGACTTCGTACTGAAGAACTTTACAGAGACGATCAAGACGATTCTCTTCTCCCTGGGATAACAAGGAGATCAAGAGTTGGATTTGCAAGTCCTCATAGCGGAGACGACGCGCTAGCAGAGTTTCCAGCGCAAAGACACATGATAAAGCCAGCAACGTATGATGGCAGTGGTCCATGGTTGGATTATCATGCGCATTTCGAGGCATGTACGGAAATCAGTGGATGGAAATATCCTCAGAAAGGATTGTATTTAGCAGTTTCTCTTCGGGGAAATGCGCAAGGAGTGTTAGGTAACATGCCAAAGGGGACAAAGCCCGATTATCAAACACTTGTTAAAGCCCTTGAAGACAGATTTGCACCCCCGAGTCAAACGGAGCTATACAGGGTGCAGATGCATGAACGGCGCCAAAGAGCTGGAGAAAATCTCCCTGAGTTAGGACAGGCTATTCGCAGACTTGCCAACTTAGCCTATCCCACTGCGTCAGCTGAGATTCGGGAAACACTGTCTAAAGACCAATTTGTGGACGCATTGGTCGACTCTGAAATGCGCATCCGCATAAAGCAGGCGCGTCCTAAACATCTTAATGACGCTATACAATTGGCTGTCGAATTAGAAGCTTACAACAGAGCTGAGAAAAAGAACTATGCGCGCCCAACTACCGTTGAATCCGTTGAAGGAAAAACTGTCTCAATGCTCGAGGAATTAAGCGCAAAGTTTGAATCTATGCAGAGAGAACTCAGAGAAATGAAAGCGGAGCGCAATGAAAGTTCACAGCAATCCCGACCATGGAAAGCAAATCAAACATTGGGGACACAGAAAAGATGTTACTTTTGCCGTAAGCCGGGACATTTACGCAAGGCTTGTAGAGCTTTTCAGGCGCAGTAGTAAACCTCCACCTACGTCCTCTACTAGAGAGTGATGGTGCAAAGGCAAAAACACCAAGCTTTCCAGCAGAAATGTCAAGACCGAAAAGAAAGCATCCATAGGAGCAAGTCCAGTCGGAATGGACGCTGGCCTGTATCTTGAAATGGACGTCTGTGGCGTGACGGCGAAGTTATTGGTTGACACAGGTGCAACAGTCAGCCTAATATCTACTGAACTGATGAGTAGAATTCCAGAAGAGAACCGACCTAGGCTTGATTCATTCAGTCGTGATATACTGGACGCTGGTGGCAACTGTCTCCAGATAAGCGGTAAGGGAACCTTTCCAACACAGATGAGAGGGTTTTCTTGCAAACTTGAGGGTGTGGTTGCAGAACTGAGCAATGATGGACTCATAGGCCTTGATTTTCTGGAAGAAAATGGATGCACAATTGATGTGGCCAAGAAGAAAATGTGCATTCAGGGAAGACGATACAACCTTATAAAAGAAGGAAGTTATGGGTGTTACCGCATCGTAGCGCTGAACACTGTCCCAATTCCAGCAAATCAAGAGGTTATAATAAATGGCAGAGTGTGTGCGCCAGAGGCCAAAAGCATTACGAAGATGCATGGTTTGGTGGAACCAAATGAAAAGTTCGTGTCGACAGGTACTCCAGTCGGGAGGACCTTAGTTAAAGCAGACAGAGTTGCGCTGAACATGGGACCAGAAAGTAAAACCATTAACAGTGGCACTCATATTGGGAAAATGTCATCCGTCTGCGGAGTACAGAGAGAGAGAAAGGCAAAGAGTAACTCTGTGTTACAAGAAAAATCTGAAGTCTTATTAAGGCGCAGTAGTACCGACCTGACAGAAGATCAGATACCTAAAGTGAGAGGCTTTTTGCGACAGTACCCCCATGCGTTTGCACTCAGTACCTCTGAGTTAGGTTCGACCAACGCAGTTGAGCATGGACTTGATGTTGGCAATGCTCATCCCATAAAGGAACCTTTGCGTCGTGTCCCTTTCCATGCTGCCGAGGAAATAGACAATCATGTAAATGATATGCTGGAAGAAGGGGTCATAGAGCGCTCCTCTATCCCCTGGGCAGCAGGTGTTGGCTCAGTCCAGAAGAAGGATGGCAGTACTCACTTCTGTATGGACTAACCGTCAAAGACACCTACCAATTGCCGCTGATTGATAATGCGCTGAATAGTCTCTCCGGAAATGCATGGTTTCCGACACTGCAATTGTGTTGGGCATACTGGCAGATATCTTTAGTGAAGAAGACCCAGGAAATACAGGGGAAGCGCTTGAGACAAAAGACGAATACCAAGGGAATGAAAGAATTGTTCATACTAAAGATAAAGTTGAAGTTGAAATTAAGCGCAAGCACCATCCTCCCCGCTGGCAGGAAGACTATGTTGTACAAGAAGCATCCAGGGCCAGCATGCGAACCTGATTGGTTCTATTTACCATTGGGTTAAGCAAAATATTGCATTTTGCTTTGCGTAATGGTAAATGTGAAGGGTTACTGTAATTACTGTTCTGTTAGGTAGAATATTCATACATATTTTATTTTGCAGAATGGGGAATACAGTGTAGATATTTGTTTTTGTAAATAGCGTTTGGTACATTTTTGTTAATGCCGCTATGTGTTTTTCTTATGCGAGGACGCATAAAGCTGGGGTGGGGGTGATGAAACGGAACGCTGATTCCTATATGTTTATTATAGCGAAAGTTATCGCCCTTGTTATTATTAATTACTAATTATATACATCGAAAATAAATACTTAATTAGTGTTGAATTTGAATTAAAGTGGTCAATAATAATCTTTGTATGTTTCTTTAGTTGGGTTACTAAAGATATGTTGATTGGAAGCTTGATAAGTGTTTTATTTAGTTTGTAAATAAATATTCACTATGTAATATAGATGGTGTTAAGATATATAGGGTTTTTACTGACATTTTTTTTTAAAAAAAAGGTTCTAGAGGTAAAACTCGACAAATCTTGTTGGTACATGTAAGTGTGCGGACTTCACTGCTTATATAGTACTGTGATAAGTGATAAGTGTGTGGTCATCCCTGCTTATTGCTTGACAGAGTGTGTGGTCATCCCTGCTCTGTGATTGGCATCTATAAGCAGCAAGTGTGCGGACATCCCTGCTTGTTGCTGCGCAAGATAAGGTGTGTGGACATCCCTGCCTTCATCTTGTGGTAGAGCATTGGTGTGCGGACATCCCTGCCAGTGTCTCTAGACTAGAACCGTATTAGTGTCAAGTGTGTGGTCATCCCTGCTTGTCACTGCGCAAGGGCAAGTGTGCGGTCATCCCTGCTTGTCTCTTGTGGAAGTGCGCTGGTGTGTGGACTTCCCTGCCAGTGTCACTTGTTCGCTACCAGTAAAGACCTTATATAACGCAGTACCAAGTAATTAAGACTGCGCATTGTACATATTTGCAGCATCTCAAGGCTATCCGTTTTTATCACGGGTACGAGCCTGCGGGGGTTCACAGGCAGTGACCTTCTTTGCACGTTACATCTGTTTTAAACAGATCATTAAATATTCAGTTTTTTTTGTTTTTGTTTTTTTTTTTGTAAAAGATAGTTCATTAATTAACATCAGTTTTTAAATTCAAGATCAATGTTGATTATATAAATCATTGTAAACTCTTGTATGTTACTTCATTTTTCATGTCACATTTAAATTGCAATACATGTATTTTAAAAACACCGTTGCTTGTCTTTATCAACTACAACAATTTCTTTGATTATCAAGAAATTTGTTGTAAATTGTCAAGAATTGTTGTCACACCAGTGATTTTATAAAATGTTGTTTTCAATGAAATAAGTAGAGAAAAAATAAGATTATATTTACTTTTGACATACACCCCGTCCCGTATGTTCAAATTAATGGAAATTAACCAAGGGTATTTATTAAAAGTTATCATTGTAGTTAATTTTTATTATGTAAATGGGAAAATATATATTTGAAAGAAAACGCGAATAAAACATCAATTTTTAAATAATCTAATTGAAAATGTATCAACAAAAATATCACATGAATTAATGTATTTTTATCTAAAAACCATAGGTTTCTAAGCATAGAAATGTGCATGTTTTACTTCTTATTTGGTATTTTACGAATTTTACGTCATTTATTTATATAAATTTAAATACACAGTTTAAAAAGTTGTGGTCATAAATCACTTCTAATTTCATTGGCATCGAGGGTATATTCAAGAAATAATTCCTATTCTATGGTCGATACAATGACCTTGTCAGGGCAAATACAATTTATCATTAAATCAAAAGCTTACTGACGTTCAAAAATTACGCGGACTTGTTGCACAAAAAAAAATATTTGACGACATAATCGGGCAAAATGTCACACATAATATAAAAGAATCTTTACTTATCTGGTCTTCAAATTTTCATACCAAAATTTTGTAAATTATTATCAATTTTAGGTGATTTATCAGGACTTATCATTAAGTCACGGAGCAGCAAAATCTTCGACGTCACGGACATTATAAAAAAAAACATACTTTCTTTTTTCAACATTTTC